GGCACAACATAGCTGACATCACATAGCTTGCACCACATAGCTTGCAACGCATAGCTCACACAACATAGCTCGTATCACATGGCATACGCAACTTTAGACATCACATCGATTACCTTGATCAACTTTCACCACATAGCTCAAACCACATAGCTTACACAATACAGCCCTCATTGTATACATCACAGAGCTTAGCTTACACAACACAGCTCACATCGCAAATGTTGCACAACCTAGCGCACACCACATAAATCACTCCGCAAAGCTTACACCACATAGCTTACAGCACCTAGCTTACACACTATGACTCGAACCTCAGAAACTACACATCATCAATTACAACGCATAACATACACGGCATATCTTCCACCTCCACAGTGCAGTAACTCACTGTTTAGCGTCCGTGCTGGCGAACATGAAAAAATCACCCGGCTGGGCAAATCAACAAATAATATAATCAGATATACAGACAGGGTGATATGTGGAAATAGGTGGAGGGAAAAGGAGATATCTATATACATGAGAGAACGTGATCCACCGCCGCTTTACTGTGGAAAATTGCCCCCCTCTTCCTCCGGAACCCGGGGGTCTCCCCCCCCCCTCCGAAAATCCCCCCCCCTGCTGGAACCTCCCCCCCCCTCCCCTCCCCCGGCAACCCCCCCCCCTCCCCTAACCCCTCTCCCCCCCCCTCCCCCTCGAAAACCGGAGGAGATCACTACCGGTTCGAACCTCCCCCCCCCCCTTGAAAACCGGAGGGGGGTTCACTACCGGTTCGAACCCCTCCCCACCCCCCCCACTCACCGCCAGCAAACGACTCCCGGTCCCTACCACCGTCCGCGCCACATCCCCCACTGTTGTTCCCAGCACCACTGTCCACCACCGTCCCCACTACCACCGTCCCTACTGTCCCCACCAGTGCTCCCACCACTGTCGCACTGTCCCCACTGTCCCCACCACTGTTCCCACCACGGTTCCACTCTCCCCACTTTCTCCACGGCCCCAACCACTGCCCGACTATCCCCACTGTCCCCACTGTCCCACTGACTCCTCCGCTGTCCCACTGAGCTGTCCCACTGTTCCCACCACTGTCCCCACTGTCCCCACCACTGTCCCCGCTGTACCTCTGTCCCATTGTCCCACCGCCGTCCTCGCCACCGCCTTCACCACTGTCCCCACCACCACTGTACCCTCCACTGTCCCACTGTTTCCACCTCCCCCTGTCCCCACACCAGTCCCCACCACCACCGTCCCCACCACTGTCCACTGTCCCCACTGTTCCCACCATTGTCCTCACCACTGTCCCCACCACTACAGTCCCCACCACTGTCCCACTGTCCCCACCACTGTCCCGCTGTCCCCTCACCAATGTCCCCACCACCACCGTCCCCACCACTGTCCGCACCCCCTCTCGGTTTTCGAGGAGGGGGGGGGGGGTTCGAACCGGTAATGACCCCCCCCGGTTTTAGACGGGGGGGGGGGTTCGAACCGGTAGTGACCCCCACCCCTTTTCATGATGAACTGGGGGGGGGGGAGGGGTTCAAACCGGTAGTGACCCCCCCAGGTTTTCCGGAGGGGGGGGGGAGGGGTTCGAACCGATAGTGACCCCCCCCGGTTTTCCGCCAGCAGCGGTAGAACACGCTCTTTCATAGACGTATTTACCAAAACATACAGCTATATATATATACAAGTACACACACATATTGCATGCTGAGTAGGCATATGGACAGATAGATCAGTAGTCCCGATGGCTGCCCCAATGGTTGCTCAGATTGATGGATTGCGAGATCGAAGATCGAGAGATGAATTGAAAGTGACCTCTGTAGATAGAGAGTGCAACCGATGGGTAGTGAGACCAATATGTAGATAATAGATAGTGAGACAGATAGATAGTGCCACACCAAGAACTGTGTATATACATATACATACATATATATATATATATATACATATACATGCATAGGTACACATAAACAAATATACATCAACATACAGACAGACAGGCATACCGCAAAACACGGAGAGGCAGTTAGATATAATAGTAAGTTGACACGTCGACGAATATACAGCTAGAAATGTGCATATCGATTTGTATATATATATATACATGCAGGAAGAGAGATGTATAGATGGACAGAGCAATAGATAGGTCTACATTGATGTCCCGATGTGTCTCCATTCGTACAGCCATCGTGCTACAAGAAAGAACGATTAAAATGAATGAAGGGGCGTGTCTGGCCACGGCGAGCCCAGGCCACTAACAGGTTCCCCAACCTAAACGTACGGAACGTCCGAAAAAACGAGCCCCTCCTGAGCCGAAAGCGGTCAGGATGTCAGCGTATTGACTGTAAGTTGAACTGCGAATCCAGTGCACATCAGAGATGACGTCCCCCACAAACCTCCTTGTCACCCGAAGGGTGGTCTATGAGATATGCGAAAACTGAGTGCCGGACCCTGCCAGTGTCACCACAGTAGCCCGCCAACACCAACCACTAGATGCTTGTGAGCGCCACAACGCCCTGCGAACACCTCGACGTGCCTGGTGGCACCGCAGTGTGCCTGCGAGCAGCAGCAGCAGCAGCAGCAGCAGCAGCAGCACGCACAAGAGTGTGCACATGCACACCAGCGCGCCTGCATGCAGCAACAGAACGCATATACACCGAACTCTGCAAACACCAGAAAAGCCTGCGAGTACCACAATATGTCTGTGAACAACACAATAACCTGCGATCACCTCAACGTGCCTGCTGGCACGAGAGAAGGTTCCTGCGAGCAGCAACACCTCAACGTGCCTGCTGACACGGGAGAGGGGTCCTGAGAGCTGCACAACTGTACGCGGACGCTGCCAGCACCACAGCGGCCTGCGATTACCGCAATATGCCTGCGAGCACTTCAGCGTCCGTCTCGGCACCACAGTGCGCCACAGCAGCAGCACATGCATGTTGACGCATACCACCGAAATTCGAAAGCAACGGTGCTGCTGAGCACCTCTCGGCAGGCCCCTGGGGGGCACGAGGGTCAGCGTGACAGGGGAGGAGCCGCGTAACGAGAGTTTCCAGCCCAAGGTAGCAAGAAGCTCGAAAACAGAAACAACGAACTGGAAGCCGAATGACGCACCCTTGGACAGTCTTGGAGCGTCGGGGGGCTGAACGGGCATAAACGCTACAATGCACAAAAAACCAAAGGAAAATCTATGATTTTGGCTTCTGGTGCCCTTTTGGGAGTGCTGCTGGGGACCCCTTCGGCTGCATGCGGAAGGCCTCCAGTCGGCCGTCGGGTCGTCCCAGACGGCGCCCTGGCAGTCCAGGAAGGCTCCAAAAGGGCCACTGGACGGCCTCAAGACGGCCAAAGACTCCCCCAAAACGGCCCTGAGCCAAAAGGCCAAGTATCGCCCCAATGCGGCCCCAAGACTGTCCAAGACCGGCTCAAGAGGCCCCCAAGAATCACCTCCAGAAACTCCAGGAAGGCCCCATAACCCCCTCACACAGCCCCAGAATCCTCCAAGAGGCTCCGAAGGGCACAACGAGGACACGTCCCCCCAAAGAAAATTCTTGTTGTTTTGCCTCAGCCGATGACCTGGGAGCCATACAAGCGACGAAAACTAACAGAGTCGGGTCTTGCGCACGATGACATACTTGTAGCGACCTCACGCCGCGGCTTAGGCGGGCCGCCAGCGTGGCACCCCACATTGGAAACGAGGGCGCTTACGGGCGACCTTACGCGGGCAGCGTACGCACCAATGTCGGCGAAGACGACCCCGTTTTTCTACGTCGCTCTTGTGCCTCGATGCCAAGGCTTCAGCGTAGGTAGGGAGTCTGCGGCCAGGGGCAGCGCAACAAAAAACGTCCATCACGGGACGCGCCACGCCAAAAAACTCCAGGGCTGGACTGCAGAGTCTCGCGCCCGTGCGCCGACGGAGCAGCACGAGTACGGCAAGGTTGCGTCATTTGAGGCCATCGGGGAGAGAGGAAACAGAGGGCGACGGGACGAAGGGACGAAGACAGCAAGAAAGGCAGGTGCGGTAAAAGTCCCTGCAGCGATACCACAAGACGCGAGCGTGCGCAGCAGCCCTGACTCACGTCAGTGGCACGTGCACGCACACAAACACTTACAAACACACACACACAAAAACACACGCACACACACACACACACACAAACACACACACACACACACGAACAACTTACAGCATAGCTAAACGATAATCGGATGCTGATAAGCAGGCTGGCGCGTGGCGGGCGATAGCCAACCCGACGGCAAGTGCAGCGCCGAGCGTGAAGCGGCTCAGGGAGGCAAATGGGCAAGCCAAGGATGGGCCTGGTGTCGGCCAAGAGCGGCCCTCGGGCAGGGCACGCCACGCGGCCACCCCAAAGAAAACTCCGAGAGGCTAACACCCGCGCCACGCTGCAGCGTTGCTGCGCAACTCCCTGGAGCGCGGCGGCGGACATGCGCGGCCGCACAACCGGGCAGGCCTGAGCTGGATCGAGGCGCGAGATCGGATCAAATCGGAAACAGATCGGATCGCCCGCGAGTCGTCCCGGGTTAAAATCGAAGTCGGATCGCCGCGTCTGGCTCTGGCTGGCCCCAGCCGACGCCGGTGAAACGAACGAAATCGATCCGAATCGGATCGAAACAAAATCGCGGCCCAAGCTAGCGAATCGAATCGCATCGAATCGGATCGTGGGCAGCCCTGACTGGGTGAGGAAGCGGACGCGGTGAACAAGGGGAGCAGGGGGAAGAGAGGATAATAAGACAACAAGCTCTGCGAGGAGGACTCGTACCTGGAAGAATGCTTGGCCGGCCGAAGGAGTGCGGCGCCGCAGAGCATTGCTCACCAGACTGGCGCTCAATCCAAGTCCAAGCTCCATCACATGAAGTGCGCACAAGCTCGATCTTGATATTTCGCACCTGCTTGGCTCCCGAGGGCGGCCATAAAGGAAGCGGCAGAGGGACACTGAAGCCGGCCAGCTGAAGCCCGAACAAAAGGAGGGTGGCCGCGCGCTCTCCTGAACAGGTCTGCGAAGCTCCACTGCGAAGCGGGCGACGGGTGGCAGACCATCGGGTCCGCATTGCGAGGCGCCGCGTCCGTCGGGATAACGTTGCTGACTCCGTCGCAGGGCACCCTGTCCGTCGGCGCCATCCTCGGGGGTCGCTCCGGGAGCGCGGGCTACCCAAACGGATCCCCACGATGGGTGGTCGCTGCTCCATCGCGCGAGTTTCGCTGACCCTCGGCGCGAGGGCACCCATTCGGTGTCCTGTCCAGGCCCTCGCCGTTGCGCACTGAGTCAGCAGTATTTTGCAAGATGCGCCAATGACTGTGTGTGTGAGATCTGCCTAAGTGTGCTTACCGGACTGCCGCAATGGAGAATCCCACCAGCCATCTTCCAAAGCCCTCTTCCCGTACCCTCCCCTCCCCGAGGTGCTTGGGCGCGGTAGCGAGCGGTTAGAGCGCCCACGATGGTCTCAGATGGCTCCAGGAGGGCCTCCGGTGCGCCAGGATGGCCTCCAAGATGGCTCAAGGTAGCCGACGATGGTTCAAGATGGCCTCCATATGCCTCCAAGAGCTGCCAAGAGAGCCCCAAGATTGCTCCAAATGCTCTCGGAGCCCCCCCACGGACCCCCCCAAGATGCCAAAAACTTTCAAAACTACTATCGAATCCCAATGATGTTTGCCTTCTCGCCTTGTCGCTTCCGATTGGTTTCTGAGGCCCCAGTTTGGCCCCAAGAAGGCCCAAGAGAGCCCCAAGAGGCCCTCAAGACGGCCCCAAGAACGTCCAAGAGCGCCCCAAGAGCGCCCTAAAAGGCGTGTTTTTGTTATGAGCGCTCCTGAGGGGAAAAGCGAATCCGGGACCTCTCTCTTTTGATCGACGCCCTACAAGACGGCCCCAAGAGGCCTTCAGGGCTCCCGAAAGCCCAAGATCTTCCACGAGGGCCCAAAGAGAACCCTAAGAAGACTCTAAGATGGCTGCAAATGGTCTCGTCCTCGTTGTCCTCCTCCTCCTCCTCCTTCTCCTCCTCCTCCTTCTCTTCCTCTTCCTCTTCGCCCACCTCCTCCTCATCCTCCCTCTCCTCCTCGTCTTCGTTTTCCTCGTCCTCGTCCTCGTCCTCCCCTTCGTTTTCGTCGCAATCCTTCCCCTACTCCTCCTCATCCTCCCCGTCCTCCTCCTCCTGCTCCTCGTACTCGTCCTCCTCCTCCTCCTTCTCCTCCTCCTCCTCCACGGCCTCATCATCATCCCCGTTCTTGTCCTGGCCGTCGTCCTCCTCGTCCGCCTCCTCCTCGTCCTCCACGCTGTGCCCAGGAGGGTCCCGAGAGAGCCAGAACACCCACCCATGGATCCTTCGGGACGACAACTTATGATTCAATAAACCTGCGCCAGCTTTCTGGAAGTTGTCCAAAAAAATTGGGCCAACGTTTTTGTTCACGCTGGAGGGACGAACATCCTTGGGTAACTCGGCCAGATGTCCAGCAAGTTATGAAACGTTGGCCTAGCTGTTCGGGAGGAGGTGTCTGAGTCACATGCTCGCCCGAAGTGATTGCAAGGAGTGGCTCTTAGTAGCACGTACTGCGCCACCGTGCCAAAACCGCTGGGTGGAGTGTCCGTTGATCCCTTCGAGCTCTCCGCATTGGGTATATCATAACCACCATGCCCTGGATGTCTCAAAGTTTGGCGCGGTCTTGGGCGCTCTCGGGATGCTTCGCGTGGCTTTTCCAAGAGGCTTCGGGGCGTGGTTTGGAACCAAAGCTTTCCGCATACCTTCAACCAAATCCCTGGTGAAAGCCTGGGGGGTCCTTTCGGCCGTCTTAAACCACTTGGGACCGGCCCAAAAAACCAAAACCGTCCAGAAAGTTTAGATTCTCTTGCAGGGTTTAAAATGCACTCTGCTTTTCTGTCATAAGAGCGTTCAAGACGGTCCAAGATGCCCGTAAGATCGCCCCAAGACGGCATCCCAACTCCCAAGGGGGCCCAAGAGGCTCCCAAGACGGCCTCAAGAGGGGCCCCAGTGGGAAAACTCGAACTAACATGTAGAGCCCTTCCCCCTAAGACGGTTTCTGAGACCTTCAACAGATCCCCGGGAGGCCCCAAGAGACCCCCGACAGGCCCCAAGTGACCTCCAAGAGGCCCCCAGAAGACCCCACGAGGCCTCCCACGAGACCATTCGCCCTCCCAGGCCTGTCTGAAGCCATTCGCCCCCGAACCAACGCATCGTGACGGGATGGGCAAGATTATATGAGACAGATAAGCATATAGACATATAGACTTGAAACTATACAAACTCACGACACTATGCGAATGAATACACGGATATATATATATATATATATATATATATATATATGAAACTAGACGTATGCCTAGAAAGATGCACATGTAAGCAAGTACGCACATACACGTGCATATACATGTATAGCTGCATGTGAGTGTGTATGTACATGTACACGTACATACACATACATACACATGAACACATCCATGTGCATATGTCTATATACACATATACATATGCAAATACATGTACCTCTGCATATGCATATGCATATGCATATACGTATGCGTATGTCTACGCTTGTGTATAACGTTCACATAGACATGGGCATACACACATGTATGTATGCATATACATATGCACAAACATAAGCAAGTACATATACACACACGTAGATATACATATAAACATACACGTATACATAAGCACCACCATGCACAGCTATACATATCTATATATATAGCAAGTACGGACGTTCTTGGGCGGTCAGGAAGCGACGGCTGTTAATGACCAAAGATATGTCTTTTCCTGCGCGCACGCCCGAAGGGCATTCCAGAAGACCGGAGGTCCCTCACCGGTGAATCGGGCGAGGGTTGAGACATCCACCGAAACTCTGCACAGCACAGCACTACGCAAGAGAGGAGAAGGGTAGTAGGGAGGGCGGGCGGAGCTTGAGCACGTCGGCCGCGGAGAACCACGGTGCGGCCGCCTGCTCGCTCCCTCCTCGCTTCACGACATAAAAATTTCACAGCAAGTGCGGACGCTCTTGGGCGGCCAGGCAGCGACAGCTGTGGATGACCAAAGATCGTCTTTTCCTGTGTGCACGCCCGAAAAGAAATCCCAGAGGACCGTAGGTTCCTCACCGGTGAATCGGGCGAGGATTGCGACATTCACCGGAACTCTGCACAGCACCCATTTCCCCACACGGGTAATCTGGCCGGCAGGCCGGAGCCCCCCAAAGCTCAAAATGAACAAAATAGGACTAAACACACATCATATCGGCCAGCTTAATACCGCGCACTTGCTCGGATGAGTGTGCGAGGACGGCGGCGGCAGCGGCGGTCGCAAAGGAGTGGGGGCATTCGGCCGCCAAGCTGGTCCACTTCCGCCCACTTGCAGCGGCGCCTGAGAGTTCTATGTGCTGGAATCCCGTCCGGGAGCAGATTCCACTTCTACCATTGATTGCACTTGCACATTAGCGGGGGCAGCGAGCTAACATTCCACCCTTGCATGCGCGTGGCCTTCCGCCACCGGGTACCATACTGACAGACGTGACAAATCGAATGGGAGGTTCCTGGGGCCATGGGGGCCTTCTGCGGCTGGGGCACGGCCAAAATTAAAGAGGTCTGCGGATTTTCAAGCAGAGCTGGAACTCTTATGGCCACGCGCAAAGCTATGATCCTACACGAGAAATGGAAGGTCGCGTTACCTATTTTGAGACGAGCAGACTAACTATCATTCAAATCCGGGCGTCCCATTGGGGCCGGTGCGTCACGCAGAGGCTTACGCAAGGCCCGGGTCCAGGTGGCACACGGGGTCCCAGGAACACGCCAAGGACGAGGCCACTCTTGAGCCACCCCAAAACGATTTCTTCAAGCGCACCATGCGCATGGTCCTCCACGGGCCCGTACAGGACGTCTAAAGACAGCGAAGCGAGGCCGACGGCCCTCCAGGCCTAGGCCACTCTCCCCGACCCGGCGAAGAGTTCCAAGACAACTCCAAACCTCCTGTACCGAGCTGACTTCAACTCACGCCGTAGCACTCCCCTCAGATGACGACGGACCTGGGCATCCGAAGCTACGGCAGCCCTGCAGTGGTCAGCGCCTGGACGGGGGCCGGGAGCTGCTGCCAAACGCGCGGGTGGTGCCGCACGCTTGGCCCGAGCTCGGCAATCTGCTGCAGGCTGGCGTGCGCGACCCGCCCGAACGCGAAGACCCAGTCTGGCACGCGAGTCGTGGCCTCTTGCAGGCAGGCCTCCTTCGCGTACCTCTTCATGCTGGCGGCCGCAGCCCAGCGGCCGTGCCTCTGGACGTGCTCCAGCGTCCGCCGCTTCTCCAGCAGGTCCCAACTCGCCCCCCCGCGCCGCGGCGCACGCGGCGTCGGGCTGAGGGCGTCCAGCTTCAGCAGGTCGGCGAACACTTTGAACTGCTCGCGCAGCGCCGGCAGGGTGAAGCCCCAGAGGCTCTGCTCGGGGTCCACGACGCCCTCTGGCGCGCCGAGCAGCGGCCAAAGGTGCGCGTCGAGGTCGACCACGACGCTCTCGTTGTACAGACCTGTCTTCCCTGGGCGCCCCTCGCTCGCAGGGTTGGGCAGCAAGGCCCAGCTCCCCGCCGAGGCGGCCGCCTGGGCGGCGGGCCGCGCCAGCGAGACTCGGCAGAGCCCCTGCGCCTCGAAGGGTCTCCGGTAGCAGCTGAACGCGAGCAGGGTCCACATCGCCACGCGCCAACTCCCGCTGATGGCCAGCAGACCAGCTTGGGCCACCGCAGCGTAGTACGGCAGCGGCACCCTGGTCATCGCTGGCATTCGCCGCTGCCACGCCACCGAGCTCCTCGTGGCCCCGGGCAGCTGGCCCCTCCATGAGCCCTGGAGGCCCAGCAGGAAGTGGGCAAGCGAAGCCAGGAGCAAAAATCCCTGGCTCGCCGGCGCTCCCTGCGCGAACTGGTGATTGAGGATGCCGGTGGTGACCTCGCCCAGATGGCCGAGGCTTCTCCAGTCCGGGTGGTTCACGAAACAGAACGTCACGAACTCGTGCAGGATCATGCGGCGCTGCTCCTCGGTGCCGGGCTTCACTGCCAACGTCTCCAGGGCGCTCAACTGTCCCTGAGCGGGCCTCTCGGTCATCAGCCTGGACGCCCGCGCTGCCCGCCGCGATCGGGCCTCCTCCGCGGCCGCCAGCGCGGGCCGCCGAGCTGGCCGCTTCAGCGCGCGCCGGCCAGCATGGGCGGCAGGCTTCCGCCGCACTGGCACAACTCGGGGGCGGCTGGGCGGGCCGTGGTCGCTCGCGGGAATCTGAGAACCAGGAGCGGCGCCCTCGGGACAAGGCGTCTGCGGGATTGCGTTATGATGGGGTCCGTCGGCAGTGCAATCTTGTCTCCGTGGCAAGTGACATCATACAAATCCTCAACAAAGGCATCTGTTGGTTGTTGCATGCTGCCCGTCCTTTTGCGACGGCCAGGCGCAGGGGCATATTGTCCACCAGGCCCAGCACGCGTTTCCCAAGACAGGCTGAGGATCTAGGCGACAACGAGAGCGTCGGCTTCCAGTCCCAAGATGTTGAGCCCCTTGTGGACCTGAGTAGCGACAACCCGGCAAGCCGTCTCCAAGCCTTGGCGTCCAAGAGCGCCGCGGGGACCTCGTCGAACCCCATCTGCCTCTTCAGGGAGCCCTCGATGCCCAGGTCCCCCTTGGCCTCCGGAACGCCCTCGAAGTCCTGGAACGGGCCCTCGAAGGCCTCCGGCGCGCCCGAGAAGTCCTGGTCGCTGTCCTGCATGTCGTCCGGCGTGCTTGGCGAAGCCGTCGAGGTAGCACGTGGAACCGACGCCGGCGGCAGCCCGGGAGGCCGGGTGGTGGCGGTGGGCAGGAAGAACGCTCTGTCCCTCGCACGCGCTCCGCTGGCCACTCTGTAGCGCCAGCGCTCGCACTGCCGTCCGCAGCGGGCGATGACGTCGGCGCGCGCCGAGGCCTTCCTCGCTGGCGTCGCCGGCGACAAGCCGCGATGCCCACGGAGCTGTCAGGTCGGGCACCAGGAGCGGCAGCAGGCACCGCGACCGCCAAAGCTCCGTGCGGACCGCCGGCCACAGCGTCTGCACCTCCGCGCCCGTCGAGACGATGAAGGCGCAGGTTGCGTCGAGCAGCCCGAGCGCCTCGCGCCTGACCATGGGCGCCCAAGTCAGATGCCCGACGAGGATGCGAACCAGATGCCCCGAAGCGCGCCCGCGGCGCAAGAGCTCTTCGATGGCGCATCGGAGCTTCCACACCGAGCGCCCTTTAATGGCCGGCCAGCGTCCACGCCGCAACTCCATGCCAAGGAACCTGCAGCTGTCAGCGGCCGGCTCGGAAGTGTGCACCCGCAGCCCGACGCCCTCCAGCATCGCCGTGACGCTGGCGAGGGCCTGGTCCGCCGTGGCCTCGTCCGAGCTGACCGGCAGGTAGTTGTCGACGTGCCCGGCAACGGCCGCCTGGCCCGCGGGCTGGATCGCCACGCCAGGCAGCCCGCCCTCGATGATCAGCCGGCGCGGCACCCCCGCTGCACGCGTGCAGGGCCCACGAGAAGCCCATGAGCAGCACGATGAGACAGGCCTGCGCGCGCGTCGCCGACGGTAGCCCAGCCACGCCCCGAGCCTCGAGGCGCATGCGGTCGATGGGCGGCAGCCGGAAATACCTGCAGAGACCGTCGGGCAGCCGCAGCCGGTAGGACGCATTATCGACGCCCCTGGCCGCGACGACGACCCTGCCAACAGGCGCCTCAAGGTTGGCGAAGGCCGCTGCGCTCGGCAGCGCGGTGGCGGGGGGGTCGGCGAGATAGGCATTCGCTGTGCGTGCATCAAAAATCAGTCTCAAACGGCCGCTCTTCTTTGCCTCACAGAAGACTCCAACTGGCTGGATGCTGGGATCCTCCGCCTGGAAGCAGACCGTCTTGCGCTCAGACATCTCCACAAGGAACTCGCCATAGGTGACGGGCGAGACGGAAAGGTGCGGGTCCACGTACGGCCCGCGAGGGCAAACTTGCTGCAAGAGGGCGTCAGCCTCACCTCGGTCACGCAGCATGCTCGAGCTCCAAGCCCCAAGCCACTGAGCGCCCGGGCCAGCAACCACATCCGTGATGGGGACAGGGTCATCGCCAAAGTCCGGCCACGAGATCAAGTCCCGCGAGCAGGGCCGCCGCGCCCCCCCTGAGCTGCAACGCGGAGAGCCGGCGAGAAGCTCGCTAAGAGCTCCGCCAGCAAAACCTTCGCCATCGGGGAGAGACTCCAGGCTGGCAAAGGCGGACTGGATGTGCTCGAGCGACGCCCGCTGACCTTCCGAGAGTCCGACGGTCGACGGCTGGGCCCCAGGAGCACACGCAGCGTTCATGACATCGATAGCGTCATTGGCCCAGTCTTGTCCATGCTCGGCGGCGCCACGGCGTCGTCGTGCACCGCGGCTGCGCCCGAAAAGTGGGCCCTCGGCCGACTCCGCCAGGTACGGCAGCGGGAAGAGATCTCGCTGTCGGTCTCCAGCGTGATCAGCGCGAAGGGGAGAAGTCGACTGGCCAGCAGCGGGAGCGACGTCAGCTGGTGGGCAGGCTGAGGCGGACGGGCGCCCATCTCCGACCCCCACTCTGAGGTCACTTGTCATCCTTGCCAGAGCACATGTCGCCGTAGCCCGTCTTCTTGTCCTCACAGGACGTGCGGGCCAGCTCGCGATCCTCTCTGGTTTTGCTCTGTTCCTTGCGGCACGCGTTATGCCGAGCTCCTCGCTGCAGAACTCCTGCGGCGCCAAGGCGCCGCTCACGATGCCGTGGAGCTGGTCAGTCCCCAGCAGGACGTGGGTGGTCTCATTCGGCGGAACCCCCGCCGGCGCGACCCTGTCTCGATAGCGCTCCTCCTGGCTGCACTGCCCGCGCCAGCATATCATCCGAGGCGGGGTCCGCTATGTTAGGCTGGTCGTACACTACCATCCGTGCGCGGGTGCGGCGGGCCCTCTCGTGCTCACCGACGCTGGGCTCGTGTCTCGCGAGCTGAGCCTCCGAGAGCCACATCGAGTGGCGCCCGGTGTGGGTGTCCCCGTGCGCCTCTCTGAACTTCAGTGACCACAGCGCCGAGCGATGGCCAGCCTCGCCGGCGGTTGGCAAGGCCAGGGCAGCAGCGAGCCCTCCCAAGCCGCCGCCCGCGGCAGTCGTCGCCCCTGGCGCCGCCAGCGGGGCGGGGGGCGCGGCCACCAGCGCTCCTGGGGGCGGAGCCGCTGCCGCGGTCGGCGCCGCCGCCACGGGGTAGCCCGCGGCCGCCGCCGGGGACAGCGGGGCGCCTCGAGGGCCTGCGGCACCGATGCTGTTGGGCACCACCACCGTGTTGGGCGCCAGCACCACCTCCATGCGAGCCGCCGCGGCGGCGAGCACCTGGGCGACCCTCGCTGACGTGGCCCCGCCGCGGGAGCCGTATACGCCAAGCCCCGCGACCGCGGCCGGATGCGCTCTCATGCGCCCGCCATCGCACGGCAGCCACCTCCGCACGCCAGTGGCTCCGAGGACGACCTCCTCGTAGCTCTCGTCGTCGTGCGTGAGCGTGCAGACCAGAGACTGCCCACTCGGGGCGAAGATCACCAGCAGCTCGCCTGACGTACTCCAGCAGGATGACGTGCCCCGCCGGGCCTCGAGAGGGTGGGCGGCCGCAGAGGCCGCCATCACGCCGTGAACTGAGGTTTCCTTGCCCGCAGCGCCGCCGCCTGGGCCGCCGCGACCTCCGCGAAGCTGGGCGCTGCGAGCGCCGCCGGGAAGCCCCTGGCAGGTGACTCCGCCGCCGGCCCCAAGCCCTGGGGCATCGCCTCCTTGCGGCGCGCGAGGGTCCAGCCGGCCAGCGCCCCAGCACCGGCGACCGCGAGCCCGGCGACCGCGAACCCGGCGAGCACGCCTGCCGAGAGGCCCACAGGGCGCGGCTCGACCACCGAGCCGCCTGGGCAGGCCAGCCGAGGCTCGCACTAGCAGTGGCACGCTGGGCAGGACGCACAGGGCGAACACTGGGACCCAGCGGCGACGCCCCACGCCGCAGCCCCTGCGGCGAAGCCTCGCACGGCCTCCAGCCCCACCGCCGCCGCCAGCTCCAGGGGCATATAGGCCGAGCGACTGGGAGACTTGGGGGGCCTCGGAGCTTGAGCACGCCGGCCGCGGAGAGCCACGGTGCGGCCGCCTGCTCGCTCCCTCCTCGCTTCACGATGTCAAATCACATATATGCATGCAAATTTGCATGCGAAACTACAACATGTGTATTCAGATGCCTACAGATACGCACATATACATAACATATACATATACACCCATATGAACACATAACAATGCATGTGCATACGCATGTACATGTACGCATTTAACTACATGCACCTAAACATGTCCAGATACGCACACATGTACATGCGTATATGCATACACCATACATCGGCATGCACCTGTACATATACATGTGCCTTCACACATACATGTGCAAATGAATATGCAAATACACACGCGTACACATGCACCTGCACGTGTACATGCACATGCAGATACACACATACATAGACACATACGTACGCAGAGACAATCACATATGCATATACGTATACATACACATACACCTACAACCATATGCATCTACACAAACGTATACATATACGTATGCACATACATAAGAACACACCTACATGTACATATACATCTCCATCCATAAAAATATGCATAGACATGCACATGTACAACCGCGAGTACATACATACATATATATATATATATATATATATATCTACACAGTTAGACGCTTACGTGCACACATATATATATATATATACATACATATGGGAACGCATTTGCACAGACGTGTGAATGCACCTACCCACCGAAACATACAAAGGCACAGGCATACCATGTACACAAGCAGGAGCATATGCATATGCATACAAACGTACACGTACACGTACAGATGTACACTAGAACCACGCGCGCGCTTCCCGCGCGCTTAGGTTCTGGTCGACTCCGAAGACGGTGTCAATTTCCATGGGGCCTTTTCCATGTGGTTTTCCGGATTCCTCCCTTTCACCTACGCGTGATTTTCGCACGGATACTGCGAAGGTCAAGAAAGGGTTTGGCCTGTAGCGCACCAGCGACGACCGACGACGACGACGACGACGACGACGACGACGACGACGACGACGACGACGACGACGACGACGACGACGGACCACCGAATATCAGCATCATTGTCACCTGACCCCTGTGTGTGGGAGAGGCGTTTCCGGAGCGTGTTGCGAGCGTCATGGGGGGCGTCCTCGGGCCTCGACATTGGGTGGGCGGGTCGGGGGGTGCAGCCAGGGCCACGTGTTCCGAAGGGCTATTCCGGAGCATGGAGGACGAAAAGCTTCTGGCGGGCTTCTGAAGGTCTGTGTAGAGGCCTCCTGCCAGCTCGGTGGGGGTTTCTCGGGAGCTTCTCGGGTCTTTCTGGAGCCTTTTTGGTGGCTTTTTGGGGCGTCGTGGAGGCCTCCTGGCAGTCTCTTGGGGCCTCCTGGGGGCCTCTTGGGGCAGAGGCGCCTCTGTTCGGGCATTTGGGGGGCTCTCTGGAGCCTCCTGGGAATATCTTGGGCCAGCTTGGGAGCCTCTGGAGGGGTCCGAGGCCCCATCTGAACCCTCTTGGAGCCCTCAAGGCCCTCCCAGCCCCCCATACGAACCAGAGGCTGCAGATCTGGGCCCATCCCGCAACCGTGTCTGGGTTGTGGGTTAGAGGCTTCTCGGATGTTCGCTGGGACGATATCGTGGGATGCCTCTCGGGGGCCCTTTTGGAAGCAGGTTTGAAGCCTCCACGGGGGCGTTGTGGAGCTTGTCGGACCTCTCTTAAGCATCTTTGGGGCCTCTTTGGAGCCTCTTGGAGCCACTTGGGGGCCTCTTGGGGCCTCCTGGGGGTCTCTGGGGGCGGGAAACTCGCAAGGTCGGCTCGTGTTCCCTCTCTTGGGCCCATCTTGGAGCCGTCTTCAGGCCCTCCTCAGGCCCTCTTGGGCCGTCTTGGGGGCCTCTTGGGCCGATCATGCGGCCCTCTTGGGCTGTCTTGGAGGCCTCTTAGGGGGCCTCTTGGGGCGACGTTGGAGGCTTCTTGGGCAGTCTTGGAGTGTCGGCCGCTCGAAACCGCGAGAAGTAACAAATATTGGAAACAAGCAATGAAAATCAATGATTCGGGCGCCTTGGGGCTCTCTTTTGGAGGTCCTCGCGGAGCGACCTTGGGACATCTTGGGGGCCTCTTGGGCCGATCATGGGGCCATCTTGGGCGGCTTGGAGCGCTCTTGGGCCGTCTTGGCGGCTTCTTGCCGTCTCCAGAAGCCTAGGTGGACGCCTCGGGGAAGCGGAAAAAGTTCCGGGACTCCGAAGACGGGCCCCTGGATGCCAAAAAGGCCCCCGCAACCCAGGGGGCAAATTCGGTTACAGGGAGGGGGGGGAGTTTGGGAAAAGTATGCGACCCTGGGCCGCGGGGCCCCGGACGCCGCTTCTATTATAGATGATTGCGCAACTGGATGTACACATACATCTAAATATACATGTACATAGTCATTGGCATGCAAGTGTAAGAGTATCAATATAAATACGCGTACATAAGCATACCCACGCACATCTATATACACACATACATCTACATCTACATGCGCATATAAATATGCAGACGCGTATATGCAGACATGCCGACCGGCGTGTACGCATATATACATACATGCAAACATACATACGCACATGCAGACATGCATCCAAACAAACATGCACGATGTTGTATGTGTACGCATGTATACATGCTTAGATGTGTGTATGTATGTGCATCTATAACGCGTATCGTACATCCATATAATGCATATGTGTGGATGCTCTCCACCGCCATCTGGTTCTCCCTGCTTCTCCTCTTTCTCATCCTGGTCTTGCGTGTCGTGTTCGTCCTATTCCTCTTTGTCGAGTCTTCTCTTATTATGCATCTTCCCTCTTCGTCACCCTCATGCAAAGCCGCTAGATACATGGGCCCAGTTCATGCTGACTCTGCAAAGGCAAGCTGTCCTGCCATGTGCGTCTCCATCTTCACGGGGAGCCTCGGACCTCAGGTGACAAGGCTGAGTCTGCAGAGGAGGATTCGCAAAACGTTGCATCCTACCCCATGCCGCGGGCAGCCCCAAAAAGAGGAAATGCTGGAGCTGGCTGGAATCGGGACGTCAACACATAGAACTCATTGTGGTTCCAGCCTTGTGCACCTCTGCCGCAGCAAAGGCTGTTCTCTGCTGGGAATTACACCTTGGGCAGACGGAACCAAACTCGGGGACCCGTTGGCCCTGCACGAAACCACCTTTGGGCTATCATGCGTGAAACGTCGTTGTCTCTGCTACGTGAGCACGTACTTAGCGGGTATCGCCCTCTGGCGCGTCACCCGCGCTCAGCGGTATACTCACGCTTCGGTAACAAGTCAGGCAGGGCAATGCGGGGACACCGCCGGGCAATCGTCAGCCGCAAAGGTGCAGAACGACGACGACGACGACGATGGACGAAGAGAGAGAGAGAGAGAGAGAGAAAAAAAAAAAAAAAGGGAGGTGGTTCAGGATGAGTGAGAGGAGACGGAACTCCCATATAAGACACAATTCCCGATCTGGAAATCGGCGGAGTGAGAGGCAATCCAGCACCACTGTGCCAGCTCAGTTTCGCTGCCGCGCCTGAACGTTATGATCCCTGTCGGGCGGGCTGCAGCAGACTCGCGCTCAATTTCGCAATCATCAGATTTACCGAGCAATCGACCCGAATGATCGGACTCCATGATCGAAATCACAATGTTGCAGCGCGCTGAGGCGCAAGCGTAGAACACCTCTTCCATGATTGGAAACCTTCGGGCGAGCAAAATGAGATGTGGTCTCGAAGTCCACGAGTCCACAAAGAAAGGTGACGATCTGACTGCGGTTCAAGTCAGAAATCCGCAATCGACACGACGCCACCAAAAGCAAACAAATCAAAGCATCTATACCAAATTCACACGACCAACCGTCGGACGTGAATATTCTAAATGATCGCGCGCAAGGTGTAATGATTCCCTTCTCTCACTCACCTTCTCTCTCTCTCTCTCTCCTTCTCTCTCTCTCTCTCTTTCCTTCTCTCTCTCTCTCTTTCTCGCTGGTTCTCTCTCCATATCTCTCTCTCTCTCTCTCCCTTTTCCCCCGCCCCCCTCACTCCCGGTTCGAGACCCCTCCCTCCCTCCTGACGCCTGCTTCCCTCCCACATTACAAAACCCAGCTGCCCACAGGCCCACCCACCAACCCACCAACCCATCCGCCCAGGCATTCACCCTATCGTGACACTGCCTGTCGCTATTATAAGTTCCTTCGTTCTCTCTCTCTCTCTCTCTTTCTCTCTCTCTCTTTCTCTTTCTCTTTCTCTCTCCTTCTCTCTCTCTCGCTCTCTTTATCTCTATATCCCCTGTAATTTTATATGTAGACATACATATATACACATATGAGTGTGCATGTGTGACTATATATGCATACGCTTCTGTGTCGAAAGATCGTTATGCATTGGCATGGTTACGTATGGTGTGACTATATATATATATATATATATATATATATATATCAGGGTAAGGGGGCCGAACGGTCATTCACTGTCCCTGGGTGCGTGGCTAAAGTGGGATTCCGCGGTGCGGATTATTGTTGTTGTTGGTTGTTGTTGTTGGTGTTGTTGTTGATGTTGCTGCTGTTGTTGTTGTTGTTGGTGTTGTTGTTGTTGTTGTTGTTGTTGTTGTTGTTGTTGTTATTGTTGTTGTTGTTGTTGTTGAATATTATTACTTCTAAAGAATAATTATTGTTGGGCCCCCTGGTGCACGCCCCCCTCGCCGCGCCTAGGCCGCAGCCACATTTTCATCATTTTCGTGAGGAAGTCTCAGGCAAAACAGGGGAGTCCGGATCCGGTTGTTTTGTTGACGCCCGCTTTCCCTGTCAAAAAACAATATAAAATGACATGTCTTGTTCTAACATAACCAAACTTCAAGAATCCTTTGCAAAAAATGACACGAAGTGCACACTCGCGCGCGCAAGATGAAATCCTTCCAAAACCTTAGTTTTCGTAGCGATTTTAACATAAAAACATGAAAAACCCAATGGTTTTTCAAAAAAAGGGTTTCAAAAATTCACCCCGCGCGCTCTTGCGGATTTCTTAGGAAACCCAATACTTTTTCAACATTTCTGTCAAACGGGCTCTTGCGAGCAACTTTTTCACGTGCTTCGAACTTCTGCAACAACGGTTGCGCGCATGCCAGGGCCATCATCCCTGTCAAATAATACCATGTGGGACACATTCGTTTTTTCTTCGCGCGCGCACGCCGAAATCTTCAAACACCATTGGGTTTCTTAAGATTTCAGCACCGCGTATCATAAAATCGCACGAATCGCACCGTAGGTCCTCGAAAAACACGTGCACGGATTTTCCAAATTTCTACCCGCGCGCGCTGTCCGAATCCTAAAAAACCCATGGTTTTTCAACATTTATGTTACATGAGCTCGCGCGAGCTACTTTCGCAAGCTCTTTCAACGGCGTTCGCGCGTGTCCAAAAACTACTAGCGTCCAGCATGTTACCACAACAAGTCACTGTACCCATGCGCCAGTGTAGTAGCCACGGTCGTCCGCAGGCCACGAAGTGAAGTGTCCGAACGTCATAGGGCGGGAAGCTGGGTGTGGGTGGTGGCGAAGAGTCGTTTGGAAATGTGGTAGAGCTTGAACCGGCCCCCCCACAAAGTGGGGGTATTGGCGGGCGTCGTATGAAAACCCTGGCACTGGTGAGAACGGAGTGTCCCCACGTGCTAGTAATTGTTGTTGTTCTTGAACATTATTAATTCTAAAGAATAATTATTGTTGGGACCCCTGGTGCGCGCCCCCCCCGCCGCGCCTAGGCCGCAGCCACATTTTCATCACTTTCGCGAGGAAGTCTCAGGCAAAACGGGGTATACCAGATCCGGTTGTGTTGTTACGATCGGTTTTCCCTTGCAAAAAATAAGGCAAAGTGGACATTTCTTGTTCTAACATGACCAAACTTCAAGAATCCCTTGCAAAAAATGACACGAAGTGCACATTCGCGCGCGCAAGACGAAATCCTTCCAAAACCTTAGTCTTCGTAGCGATTTTCACATAAAAACATGAAAAACCCAATGGTTTTTCAAAAAAAGGGTTTCAAAAATTCACCCCGCGCGCTCTTGCGGATTTCTTAGGAAACCCAATACTTTTTCAACATTTCTGTCAAACGGGCTCTTGCGAGCAACTTTTTCACGTGCTTCGAACTTCTGCAACAAAGGTTGCGCGCCTGCCAGGGCCATCATCCCTGTCAAATAATACCATGTGGGACACATTCGTTTTTTCTTCGCGCGCGCACGCCGAAATCTTCAAAGATCATTGGGTTCCTTAGGAATTTTAGCACCGCGCAACATAAAATCATACGAATCGCACCGTAGGTTCTCGAAAAACACGTGCACGGATTTTCCAAATTTCTACCCGCGCGCGCTGTCCGAATCCTTAAAAACAAATGGTTTTTCAACATTTATGTTACATGAGTTCGCGCGAGCTACTGTCGCACGCTCTTTCAACGGCGTTCGCGCGCCTGCCAGGGGCCACAATCCCTTGCAAAAAACACCATGCGGGACACATGCGCGCGTCGTCGCGTCAGACCATCCAAAGCAGCGCCTAGCGCCTCACCAGCCAAAGCAGCCCATATCATTGTAGGACCTACAGACAGTACCGGCGTCGTACTGGTTTACCGTGGTTTCCTATTCTAGCGTCAGGAACATGTTACCCCGAAAAACCAGTACAGGTGTCCAGTGTTGGAACAGGGGGAAAAGTCGTATACTAAGCTAGCTTACAGAAAATGTTACCACAACAAGTCACTGTACCCATGCGCCAGTGTAGTAGCCAAGGTCGTCCGCAGGCCACGAAGTGAAGTGTCCGAACGTCATAGGGCGGGAAGCTGGGTGTGGGTGGTGGCGAAGAGTCGTTTGGAAATGTGGTAGAACTTGAACCGGCCCCCCCACAAAGTGGGGGTATTGCCCGCCTCCTATGAAAACCCTGGCACTGGTGAGAACGGAGTGTCCCCACGTGCTAGTAATTGTTGTTGTTGTTGTTGTTTGTGTGTTTGTTTGTTTGATTGGTTGTTTGTTTGTTTGTTTGTTTGTTGTTGGTGTTGCTGTTGAACATTATTAATTCTAAAGAATAATTATTGTTGGGCCCCCTGGTGCGCGCCCCCCCCGCCGCGCCTAGGCCGCAGCCACGTTTTCATCATTTTCGTGAGGAAGCCTCAGGTAATTCGATGTCATCAAGATCCGGTTGTTTTGTTCCCCCCCGTTTTCCCTTGCAAAAAAACACTATAAAATGACATTTCTTGTTCTAATATAATCAAATTTCAAGAATCCCTTGCAAAAAATAAGGTAAAGTGGACATTCGCGCGCGCAAGACGAAATCCTTCCAAAAGCTTAGTGTTCGGAGCGATTTCAACATAAAAACATCAAAAAACCAATGGTTTTTCAACAAAAAAATGTCAAAATCTCATCCCGCGCGCTCTTGCGGATTCGTAGGAAACCCAACACTTTTTAAACATTTCTGTCAAACGGGCTTTTGCGAGCAACTTTTTCGAACTTCTGCGACAACGGTTGCGCACCTGCCAGGGCCATCATCCCTGTCAAATAATACCATGCGGGACACATTCGTCTCTCTGTATTATGTATTGTATGGCACAATTGCACCATGCTGGGCACATGCGCGCCCCGAATAAGTGACCAAGTTCTGTGGGTGTGTACCCCACGCCAGTGTAGTAGCCACGGTCGTCCGCACGCCACGAAGTGAAGTGTCCCAACGTCATAGGGCGGGAAGCTGGGTTTGGGTGGTCGCGAAGAGTCGTTTGGATATTTGGTAGAGCTTGTAATGCCCCCCCACGAAGTGGGGGTATTGCCTGGTGTCGTATGAAAACCCTGGCACTGGGGAGAACACCACGCGTTCGGGTAAAATGATTGTTGTTGTTATTGTTGTTGTTGTTGTTTGTTGGTTGTTGTTTGTTGTTTGTTGTTTGTTGGTTGTTGTTTGTTGATTGTTGTTTGTTGTTTGTTGTTTGTTGTGTGTTGATTGTTGTTTGTTGTTTGTTGTTTGTTGATTGTTGTTGTTTGTTGTCGTCGTCCCACCCGCAAACCGCCCCGCGACCCACCCGCGACCCACCCCGCGACGCACCCCGCGACCCACCCGCGACCCACCCGCGACCCGCCCGCGACCCACCCCGCGACCCACCCCGCGACTCACCCCGCGACCCACCCCGCGACCCACCCGCGACCCACCCACCCCGACCCAACCCACCCCGACCCACCCGCGACCCACCCGCGACCCACCCACCCCGGACCCACCCGCGACCCCCCCGCGACCCACCGCGACCCACCCGCGACCCACCCCCCACCCCGCGACCCACCCCCCACCCGCGATCCCCGCGACCACCCCGCGGCCCACCCCGCGACCCACCCCTCCACCCGCGCGACCCACCGCGACCCACCCGCGACCCACCCGCGACCCACCCCGCGACCCACCCGCGACCCACCCCCGCAACGTACCCACCCGCCTGCGGCGACCCCACCCGCGACCCACCCCGCGACCAACTCGCGACCAACCCGCGACCCACCACGCGACCCACCCGCGACCCACCCCGCGACCCACCCGCGACCCACCTTTTACCCAAACCACGTTCAACGTACAAACCACGATTTTCAGCGCCTGCGGCGGGCCTGTTCTCCATTCCTTCCAGGTGGAGGGCCCGCGACCCACCCCGCGACCAACTCGCGACCAACCCGCGACCCAAACCACGTTCAGGGTAAAACCGCATTTTTCGGCGCCTGCGGCGGGCATCTTTTCCATTCGCTTCAGGTGGAGAGCCCGCGGCCCACCCGCGACCGCGTCCAGGGTACAAACCATTTTTTTCGGCGCCTGCGGCGGGATTTGTTGCAGTCGTTCCCGGTGGGGAACCCGCGGCCCAGCCGCGACCCAAACCAGCTTCAGTGTACAAACCCATTTTTGTCGGCGCCTGCGGCGGGCTGCTTTTGCACTCCTTCCAGGTGGAGGTGGAGAGCCCGCGACCCACCCGCGACCGAAACCACGTTCACTGAACAAACCAATGCCGCACTAGCGCGGCGGCGGATTTTTGCATGCCGTCTGAGCCCCCTACGACCTCTTCAAGCCCCGCACATCCACACCAGCCCGTCCAGCAACTTTGCCCTGGCGAGTTGCCTTGATCAGAGAAGTCGGGGAGCATAAAATGGGAAAAAAGACTGCGTTGCCGTTATATTGGGGAAAGGAGGGGGAGGCAGGAGGAGTAAACAGGGGACGAGGAGGACGCGGAAAAAGAGAGAATGCAAGGAGAATGTGGAGAAAGAGGAGGAGGAGCAAGGGACGAGGAGGGGCAGGAGGGGGAGGAGGACGAGGAGGGGGAGGAGGGGAAGGAGGGGGAGGAGGATGATGATGGACGACAACGGGAGGACGATGATGGAGGCCGATGAGGGGGAGGACGACAATGGGAGGACGATGATGTAAGGACGAGGGGGGGAGAGGGAGGACGAGAAAGAAAAGGAGGAGGAGGAGGACGAGGTGGAGGAGGAGGAGGCCGATGAGGATGAGGACGAGGACGAGGACGAGGAAGAGGAGGAGGAGGAGGAGGAGGAAACCACCATCGACAGGAAAGGTGGGGCCACGAGGTCCGCCGGCTCGACGACGCCCGCGTCGCCCACGCCCGCCCCCTCACTCTTATCCGCAATTGCGGTGTGTTACGTGTGTGTGTGTATATATATGTGTGTTTTCCTCTCTCTCTCTCTCGTTGTGCATGTGTGTGTTGTACATGTATGTATGGATGTATATGAATGTATGCATCTAGCTATATCGTTCTCTTTCTCTCTCTCCCTCTCCCTCCCTCCCTCCCTCCCTCCTTCCCTCTCTCTCTCTCTCTCTCTCTTTCTCTCTCTCTCTCTCTCTCTCTCTCTCTCTCTCTCTCTCTCTCTCCCTGTGAATATCCCTGCTCCCGCCCGTTCATACGCACAAACACGCACACATGCATACTTGCAAAACCACACAATAGCATGGCCCGCTGAATTGAATACTCGAAATGCCCTTTTGAGGGGCCCAACCCCCTTCTTCCTTCGGGGAGGGGTTTACCCCTCCTCCCCTGCCCCCATCCCCTGGACCTGGACGGGGCGACCCGCGAGTTGTCAGAGGGCACTTGCTCGCCCAAGATGGCTCCAGGAGAGCCTCAGAGAGCCCAAGATGACCTCCAAGATGGCGCAAGATACCGCAAAATGCCTCAAATCGGCTCCCAAGATGCCTCACGAGGCCCCAAACACATTCCAAGACGGCTCAAAGACGCCTCCGAGACATCCAAGAAGGCCTCCAAGAAGCCAACATCCGTCTATAACCTAAGGACTATCAATGATGTTTGTTTTAGCGCCTGGTCGCTTCCGATGGCCATTCGAGGCCTCAAGATGGCTCCAAGATGGCCCAAGAGGGCCCTGGGAGAGGCCCAAGAGAGCCCCAAGACCGCCACAAGAGCGCTCCAAGAGGGGTCCAGGAGACGATCTCCGGTGTTCCCGAGGGGGCAGACTAATTGGAGCTCCCCTCTTGTTTGATCGATGTCGCGCCCCCAGAGCTCCACACTAGTTGAAAAGCAGCAAGATGCCACACTCCTGGCTGCTTGGAAAATGATAAACAAGTCAGGCGCGCCGCCGCCTAGAGCGGCGGCGCCGGCGAAAGAAAAACAGTGTGCGACCCAGGCGGCCGCCGGTCAGCGAATTCTGGCGGGGACGCGGGGGCTCTCCACGCCGGCGAGATCGGTGCAGGTGCGACCACACGGACCACCAAGACCACCACCAACCAGGGACCCAACGGGGGGCGGAGGGGCGGAGGGGGCAGGGTCGACGCGTGCTCGCCGGAGGCCCAGGAGGGCCTAAGAGGCCCCCAGACGGCCCCAAGAGGCCGTCTCCCCTCCCCTCCCCCCCCTCCCTCCCTCCCTCCCTCATCCCTCCCCTCCCTCCCTCCCTCCCTCCCATCCTCTCCTCTCCTCTTCCCTCCTCCCTCCTCTGTCCGTTTCCCTCCTGCATCCTTCCTCTTCCCTCCTCTCGCTTTCTTCCATCGTCCCTTCTCCCTCCTCTCATCCCTTCTGCCCTCCCTCCCTACTCCCTATCCCTCCGACTTTGTCTCTCCTCCTCCTCCTCCTCTTCCTCCTCCTGCTGCTCCTCCTCCTCCTCCTCCTCCTCCTCCTCCTCCTCCTCCTCGTCCTCCTCCTCCTCCTCCTCCTCCTCCTCCTCCCTGCTCCCCCTCCCTGCTCCTGCTCCTGCCCCTCCCTCCTCCGCTCCCTCTCGCCCTCCCTCTCCCTTCGTCCTCCCCCTCATGCCTGGCTGGGGGCGGGGGCGCCCCTCCTCTCGGGCTGCGTCTCGCAGGCGCGCTGTGCCACTGGCCAGCGGAGGGCGTTCTGGGCGACAGCGAGGCTCTCGGTGACTTTGGCACTGGCGCGGCGGGGCAGCAGCAGCAGCGGCAGCGACGACGACGACGACGACGTGAGGATGATGAGGATGACGAGAACGAGGAGGAGGGTGGTGGTGTGGATGATCGTCCCATCCCTCCTCCCTCCAGCCCGACTGTTCCGCATTGGCCGAAACACGGCACGGGCGAACTGTAAAAGTCGGCCGCCGTACCAGCACGCCCCAAGCGACGGCAGACGCCAGAATCAAAGCATGGTCTACGGCATCATCTACGACATCGCTAATAACGTAGAGGATGCGGCATCGGCGTCCTCCTCGCCCCCGTCACCATAGGGCATCATCGCCCTACTCTTCCTCACATCATCCTCCCCCCGCCTCCTCATCCACCTCCTCATTCTCACCCCGGCCTATGGTTGGCCAATATGGAAACTCACATCCGAGCTGTGAGGAAAAATGCAAAGTCGGCAGTTTCGCTTCCAACATGGACATCATGTCGTCGACGCTGCACCGCGCGAAAGCTTGAAATATCGCTCTCGCCTCGGCGCCGTGCCCGAATTTCTAGAGAATTGAGTTCCCGTTTCGGCGCGGCGTGCATTGCTCACAAGAAACTTCGTCGACGCGCGAGCGGACGAGAATGTCGCTCTCGCCCCGGTGACGCGCAGATTTCGCCTGAAACTGGCGTTCCTGCCTCGGCGCGGCGCTGGCGCGTACCCTTCACCCGACAATTCTGGGGTGCCCGAGCGAGCGAGCGACTTGTCGCTCTCGCCCAAGATCCGTGCGCATTGTGCTTGGACGTAGCTTTCCCGCGCGGGCGCGGCGCATGATTCGTTCGCCGGCTCGTGCGAAAGAGACAACGGCAGCGGGGCCACGCGAGGGCGTGCGAAATGGCGACCTCGCCAAAGCGTCGCGCAGTTTGTGATTAAAAGTGGCAGTGCTTTGGCAACACGGGGCATGCTTCGTCTTCCACGCGCGCATCGGAAGCGCTGCCGTTCCCGCCCCTGCGCGGCCCGCGTTGTTTTCCCTTCGCCGAATCGTCGGAAGTTGGGCCGCGCGCGAGCGCCTTCCGCTTGCTAGGTGCGGACGCGTTCCAATCCAAATCCGCCGATCCGGCGTGTGAGTCCCACCAGCCCTTTGGGCGTGAGTGGTTTAGGGAGCTCTCTCTGTTCTCAACCCCCTAACCCCCTATCTTCCCCTTCGGGGAGGGGTTTACCCCTCCTCCTACCCCCTCCCCTGGACCTGGAGAGGGCGGGCCGAGTGGTGGCAAGGGGGTCTTTTTCGACTCCTGGGAGGGCCAAAAAAACGACGACCCTCACGAGGATTCTGGTCCCGAGGGGGGGAGACCGTTTGGCCCCTCTGCTCGTCTTTGAAGCAGAAATCATTGATTTTACGATGGTTTTGGCCCCATTTTGGCCTTCTGAGGGGGCCGCGCTCATCTTCCCTCATAGCAAAATCATTGATTTTACGAAGGTTTTGGGCTCATTTTGTCCTTCTCAGGGGGCAGCTCTCATTTGCGCTTCTGAGGAGGTCGCACGAGGCCCCAAGATGACCCCAAGAGGCCCCCAGGAGGCTCCCAAGAGGCCTCCAAGAGGCCCCCAAGAGGCCCCCAAGAGGCCCCAAGAGGCCCCCAAGAGGCCCCCAAGAGGCCCCCAAGAGGCCCCCAGAGGCCCCCAAGAGGCCCCCAAGAGGCCCCCAAGAGGCCCCCAAGAGGCCCCCAAGAGGCTCCAAGAGGCCCCCAAGAGGCCCCACGAGGAGCCCGAACGACTCACACCAGGACGAGGGGCCCGAACGACTCACACCACGAAGAGCCCGAACGACTCACACCACGAAGAGAACGACTCACACCAGGAGCCCGAAACGACTCACCAGGACGAGGCGCGACTCACACCACGAGGAGCCCGAAGGACTCACACCACGACGCGGGCCCCGAACGACTCACACACGAGGAGCCCGAACGAGTCACACCAGGAGGAGGGGCCCGAACGACTCACACCAGGACGAGGGGCCCGAACAACTCACACCACGAGAAGCCCGAACGACTCACACCAGGACGAAGAGCCCGAACGACTCACACCACGAAGAGCCCGAACGACTCACACCAGGAAGAAGGGCCCGAACGACTCACACCAGGACGAGAAACCCCAAACGACTCAAATCACGAGGAGCGCTTTCTCTCCCTCCTCCTCCGCCTCGTCCTTCTCCCGCTCCCCTCACAAGGAGGATGTACAAGGAGGCGGGAGGAAGGAGGAACAGGGGAGATATGCGGGGCCAAGCGGACACACGCCTGAATTATCCCGGCAAAGCAACCTAACAGCGATGTGTAGGAGCATATCTGGAAGCATCCCCCTTAAGATTCAGATGAGAATCCAGTTGTAGAGTTCTGCTGTTCTCGCAGTCGTAGTCGCATTCGCGATGACAGTCGCAGTGGCCTGCATTAGCCTCAGCCTCAGCCTCAGCCTGCCTCAGCATCAGCCTCAGCCTCAGCTTCAGCCTGCCTCAGCCTCAGCCTCAGCCTGCTCCTGCATCAGCCTCAGTCTGCCTGCAGCCTCGGCCTCAGCCTCAGCCTGCCTCAGCCTGAGCCTGCCTCAGCCTCAGCCTCAGCCTCAGCCAGCCAGCCTCAGCCTCAGCCTCAGCCTCAGCCTCAGCCTGCTCAGCCCTCAGCCTCAGCCTGGCTCAGCATCAGCCTGCCTCAGCCTCAGCCTCAGCCTCAGCCTCAGCCTCAGCCTCAGCCTGCCTCAGCCTCAGCCTCAGTCTGCCTTCAGCCTCGGCCTCAGCCTCAGCCTGCCTCAGCCTCAGCCTGCATCAGCCTCAGCCTCAGCCTGCCTCAGCATCAGCCTGCCTCAGCCTCAGCCTCAGCCTCAGCCTCAGCCTCAGCCTCAGCCTCAGCCTCAGCCTTCAGCCTCAGCCTCAGCCTCAGCCTCAGCCTCAGCCTCAGCCTCAGCCTCAGCCTCAGCCTGCCTCAGCCTCAGCCTCAGCCTGCCTCAGCCTCAGCCTCAGCCTGCTTCAGCCTCAGCCTCAGTCTGCCTTCAGCCTCGGCCTCAGCCTCAGCCTGCCTCAGCCTCAGCCTGCATCAGCCTCAGCCTCAGCCTCAGCCTGCCTCAGCATCAGCCTGCCTCAGCCTCAGCCTCAGCCTGCCTCAGCCTCAGCCTCAGCCTGCTTCAGCCTCAGCCTCAGTCTGCCTCAGCCTCGGCCTCAGCCTCAGCCTGCCTCAGCCTCAGCCTGCATCAGCCTCAGCCTCAGCCTCAGCCTGCCTCAGCATCAGCCTGCCTCAGCCTCAGCCTGCCTCAGCCTCAGCCTCAGCCTGCTTCAGCCTCAGCCTCAGTCTGCCTTCAGCCTCGGCCTCAGCCTCAGCCTGCCTCAGCCTCAGCCTGCATCAGCCTCAGCCTCAGCCTCAGCCTGCCTCAGCATCAGCCTGCCTCAGCCTCAGCCTCAGCCTGCCTCAGCCTCAGCCTCAGCCTGCTTCAGCCTCAGCCTCAGTCTGCCTTCAGCCTCGGCCTCAGCCTCAGCCTGCCTCAGCCTCAGCCTGCATCAGCCTCAGCCTCAGCCTCAGCCTGCCTCAGCATCAGCCTGCCTCAGCCTCAGCCTCAGCCTGCCTCAGCCTCAGCCTCAGCCTGCTTCAGCCTCAGCCTCAGTCTGCCTTCAGCCTCGGCCTCAGCCTCAGCCTGCCTCAGCCTCGGCCTGCATCAGCCTCAGCCTCAGCCTCAGCCTGCCTCAGCATCAGCCTGCCTCAGCCGCAGCCTCAGCCTGCCTCTGCCTCAGCCTCAGCCTCAATCTGCCTTCAGCCTCGGCTTCAGTCTCAGCCTGCCTCTGCCTCAGCCTGCATCAGCCTCAGCCTCAGCCTGCCTCAGCCTCAGCCTGCCTCAGCCTCAGCCTCAGCCTCAGCCTGCCTCAGCCTCAGCCTCAGCCTGCTTCAGCCTCAGCCTCAGTCTGCCTTCAGCCTCGGCCTCAGGCCTGCCTCAGCCTCAGCCTGCATCAGCCTCAGCCTCCTCTGCCTCAGCATCAGCCTGCCTCAGCCTCAGCCTCAGCCTGCCTCAGCCTCAGCCTCAGCCTCGGCCTGCTTCAGCCTCAGCCTCAATCTGCCTTCAGCCTCGGCTTCAGTCTCAGCCTGCCTCAGCCTCAGCCTGCATCAGCCTCAGCCTCAGCCTCAGCCTGCCTCAGCCTCAGCCTGCATCAGCCTCAGCCTGCTTCAGCCTCAGCCTCAGCCTGCATCAGCCTCAGCCTGAGTCTGCCTTCAGCTTCGGCCTCAGCCTCAGCCTGCCTCAGCCTGCCTCAGCCTCAGCATCAGCCTGCCTCAGCATTCAAAATGTGGCCAGGGAATGGAATTCTGGGAACTCGAAGAACACGAAGTGGCCTACAGTTTGCTCCGGGCATTCAAAATCATACCCAGGAATGGAGTTCTGGGAAGTCCAAGAGCACGAAGTGGCCTACAGTTGGCTCCGGGCATCCAAAATGTGGCCCGGGAATGGAGTTCTGGGAACTCGAAGACACGAAGTGGCCTACAGTTGGCTCCGGGCATCCAAAATGTGGCCCGGGAATGGAGTTCTGGGAACTCGAAGACCACGAAGTGGCCTACAGTTGGCTCCGGGCATCCAAAATGTACGCCGGGAATGGAGTTCTGGGAACTCGAAGACCACGAAGTGGCCTACAGTTGGCTCCGGGCATTCAGAATGTGGCCCGGGAATGGAGTTCTGGGAGGTCGAAGAATGGAGTTCTGGGAGGTCGAAGAGCACGAAGTGTGTGACTGTTTGCGAAAAACGAGGTTCCCCGGCAATCCCCAACGGCCCCCCAACAGCCCCCCAACAGCTCCCCAACGGCTGCCCAGGCCCCCCTGTGGAGTAATGTGCTGCTCTCTTTTAGACCACTAGAAACCTATCAGTCTTCGCTGTTAGGTAAAAACACGACTGTCGGCATGCTTCGCGAGAGTTGCTGCTGTGAGATGGGCTGGTGGGGATACGCGAAGCGTAAAGAATTTAAGTAGTCTAAGCTGAAGCTCTGCTTCAGCATGAGCTTTAGCTCTGCTTGGGAGG